CTAACTGTTAGTGTAGCAGGAGAAAAATTCAACTAACGCTACAGAAAAATCTGAAAGAAAATATTCCGCTACGCTAACTGTTAGTGTAGTGGAAGGAAATTACAACTAACGCTACACAAAGTTGGAAGAAAAAAACAAGTGCTACACTAACGGTTATTGGCCTTGTAGCGTAGTGTAGCGTAGCAGCCCACTGTTGTGTATATTTTGTGTAAATCCATTCTTTGTTTCTATAGGCTCCTTATCAGGTAAAAATCAGGTCAGTTGATTAACTTATTGGCTAGACTACCACTATGTTGTACTTTGTACTATGCTCATATTTTTCAGATTTGTACAGCTCATTTGTGGCTGATTTGAAATGATTCAAAATTCAGAATCAGATACAAAGGTGTGTAACAAAACTTCCTCCCACAGCTTAAAATCACCAGCATCAGACGCCAAATCAGTAAATCATGAAATTCCCTCACAGCTGGAGCTCAAAGTGTAACAAGCATTATTGATCTTTTTTGAACATGCTGATAGCCAAGAGGTATAAAATTAAATTCACACAAATGAAGTACTCATTTACGTAGCATGTAACCAAATTTGAAACTAATCATCCAGTCTAGATCATCAAATTTACAGCTTGATGCCGTACCTGTTGAAGTGTCAAACTAGGCACTGCTTGATACAAATTTGCTAACACATCCATGTGAGACTTCCTCACAGCATTGGAGGCAAAACCCCACACACAAGCTGTACATAAGCAATGTACTTCACAAACCAACACATTAGCAATGCATACTTAGCTCAATGGTTAGAGCATCACTCATGAATGCTACAGTTGAGGGTTCGAGTCCCACAGTATACAACCTTCCTTTTCACTTGTTCACTAGTACCACATGGGCTGCTGTTTCTCAGAATTAAAAATCCAGAATAAATAAAAGGTCCGATGGTTGATGGTCGGAAGGAAGTTTATATATATCAAGAGGTTGCGGGAGGGGTAGGGGAGAAACTGCTGATTTCTTTTCTTTCGTATTCATGGTTTAGGGTCAGGATTGGAAGGGGGATTAAGGAAGGAGTTATCATCTCTGATGGTACGCTTAGGTGGTGAGAGGGTTTGGGGAGGCGTATAGCTGCTGTTGAGTCGGCCGATGTAACTATGATCCTGTTTGAGAGATATCCTGTTTTGGAAACGTTTGAAGATTTCGGCGTCCGCGGAGGTGTATCGGGGGAGCACGCTCTCGGATTGGACATTATTTAGGCCGTCCGGCCCGGCTTCCGCGACGACCGAAGCCTCGTAAATATCCCGCTCGGCGACTCCAACTTCCGGAGTCGGAGCTAAAGTCGCCACACTCGTTGGCGAGCCCTGCGTTGCTGGCCCGAGAGCACGCCCTTTTAATGCCGGACTGACGGGGAGCGCCTCATCACATTTCTTCTCTGCCATATTAGGTGCGTCCAAACAATCCATGGCGTCTACCCTAACAGGGTTTGAACGATCGAACGACTTCTTTTCTTGGGTTTCTTTCCACTTCAAGTCTCCATCCGTCTCCTTCGAGGGACTTGGGGCAGGAAGTAGAAGGGAGGAATCATTACGAACAAGCACCTTTTCAGATGTGATGCTGCTTGAAACGTTGGATAGACCAGGCTGAGCGACTTGATCGGGGCTTCTAATCTGCGTATGTTGAAAACCTGAGGCGACCTCTGCGGCGGGCGGAGGTTGGGTTAAAGTGGCCGGGTATTGTGCAGATGGTACTTGATAAGGCGCTGATTGAGGCCCCAACGGTTGAGAATGGTTTGGGTAGCCCTGATAATTAGTCAACCCTGGTGTCGGCCAGTATTGGCCGGGATGACAGGGTAGCGGTGGAGGGACAACATAGTAGCCTTCAATCTGCGGTTCTTCGAAGTCTCGCTGTGTGGCCCTCGACCGTTTGCTGTAAAATGTTTGTTGAAAGTATTTCAATGAGATTCTCCCCTCAAGTATGTGCATCCGTGTGCCTGCAAAAATCTTGACAAGTACAACAAGTTGAAAAAACAATGATGATCTTGAGACACTTACTACCAGACCGCTCCAATGACTATCAGCGAGAGAGGTAATGCCAGCAAGAAGAAATGCATTGATTGGCTAGGATCAAAAAGTGGTACGATATTGCTTGATGGAGAGAGGTGAACTATGAAATTTTTGAAGGGAAACAGTATCGTTGGAACAGGACTATTGACGGCTAGGTAAGTCAGCTATTAGGAGCTCGTAGCTGGAAGCGCCGTGGTCCTTCGAATGAGCTTGGCAATTATTGACCCTTAATGGTTGTCAAGATTACTCGAAGACAACTGAGCCATGTTAGCCAGCATTTATTGGCCCAGGGAAGTAGCGACCGAGAGCCGAGGCTGTTTGCCTGCCAATCAAGGCGTTTCCTGATTGTCCTTGATTTTCCAGCTCCCCTAAAGAGAAACTTCGACCGACCGCCCTCTTCTCTCCTCTGCTATCGCAAGGAGCCTTTCACACTTCTAGGTGGTCCCATCATCAAGATATGGTGCAAAAGCGCTAAATTGAGTGTATGTCAGTTCAGCGAGAGCATACACCATCAATCGACAGCACAAGAGATGTACATGCTCAAGTCGATAGCAAGAAATCCTCGCTGCTACTTAGTCACATTGCGTTTTTCTTAGCCGATTGGGGGTCGGCTCGAATGGAGTGAATGGAAATCAACATCTTTAATGGTCTTTCTTCCAGATAGGCCAATACTTTGAGGCTCAACCTCTCCGGTCATCTAGGGCTCCATTCGAATGCTGCACGTCAGCAGTCAGCCCCTGTAAAAATATAATGCAAGGTAAGGCAGTTATATGGACCAATTCGCTGGAGAAGCTCCTGAGGAAACTGATACATTCCGACCATTGAGTAGTCTTCCTCGGCAGAAGTTCGCCGGGGATGGCGGCTGCACATCAAGGTGGTCCAATCAATCCGCCCAAGAGAGCCAGTCAGCGTGATCATGGGGATAGCTTCTTGGCAAACTAGTGAATAGCTAAATATAGGACCCTGTCAAGTACGGTCCTGGCACAAGAGCCATTTCGACAAGTTGAAGTCCTGTGTGAGCCTGGGCAGCAGGGCAGAAGTTGGTTTGTTAAAAGAGGTTGTCTTTCTTAAAACAAGGAACAAGACAAAAGAAAGGAAGATGTTATTTTTGTTGAAGAGGAAGCCTATGAGGTATTTATAATGAAAATCAAGAGAGGAAGAAAGAAGAAGGAAAGAAACAGCTGAGTAGCAGGGGTAGCTCAAGGACCAACCAGTGAAGTGAGAGAGGAAATGTTGAATTTCTTCCCTTGTCTACTCATTCCTGAACTCCCTTCACTCCTGCCTATCGTCAATATCACTTCTAACAATCATAGGAGACAAGTTTTTCTGTAGCATGACAGTAATGAGATGTGATAGCCCTGTAGCCAATGAGCCTTTGTCTAGGAGTCATCTTGTCAGCCATGTTAGAGCAAACTAACAAACATAATAATAATAAAATAAATTACCATAAAAATCTCGGTATAAAAAAAACTATCAAAAAGAAATATCCTTTTATTCTTCATCTAAAAAGAAAAAGCACATTGAAAAACACATACAAAAATATACATATATACATACGTTTACCTAAGAAGAAAGAGCACATTAAAAAACATATACAAATATATATAGATACATAGATATATATGTTTTGTACTTCATTTTCTAATAGAATATATGTAATAAATAATAAATGACCTCAAAGATACAAACAAACTTGTCAAAATCCACCTGTGAACCATGTCAGACAGGTTGCAACAGTTGTAATACCTGTAGAAGCTAGGGTGAGATACCTAGAAGCCCAAAAAGGCCAAGAGTCATAACAACCAATTGGTATCTAATACTAAGCCCACATAACTACTACAAAGTTGTTTGACAATAAAGAGTGCCTAGAAACAGCCTATTGGGCTGAAAGTGGCAGAAGGGCTTTCCTGCAACCAGGAATATTACTTTGAGCCATAGCAACACCAGAATGAGCTAGACTACGGCCAACCATAAGTAATACAGACCTGTAAATAGCCCAACCAGGCGTAACCATGAGCTTGTTATGATCTTGTAACCCCCTTCAGGACTTGCCAGGGGTTTCCCCAACTGGGGGGATTATCTTCAGCCTCCGCACCTTTGTACATTCCCCAGTTAGCAATCTATCATCTTAATCACAACA